TTATCTGCAGGAATACACCTATCAGTAAAAACTTCTACAATTAAACATGAACAACCAATAACAATGGTGTACATCATCATCTTGTTTTGTAGACACACACAAGACACTTCAGTGACTGTAAGCAACCACAACTAAACATGAACAACCAATAACAATGGTGTACATCATCTTGTTTTGTAGACACACACGAGACGTTTCAGTGACTGTAAGCAACCACAGTCCTAACACCAGTTTCTGTTTTGTTGCCAAAATCCCCATGATTCCATAGAGTACAAATCACGGAGATGTAAAATAGATACTCTCTTTGCTGCAGAGGGTAAATTATGACTTTCTATTGACTTGGTTGAGCAATTATAAATACTGAGAGTTTCAGAATATTCCTAAATATCTACTCCATGCTGTCCTCTCTTATGTCTTTTCAAACTATCTGAGCGTGAGCAGCGAAACCCACACAAGTCGCACGTGACTGTTCGTAACGTATGAATCTGTAAATGGCGAATCATGTTGGCTTCTTTGCTGAACGTTTTGCCGCACACGGTACACACTCGTCCATATTCTATTGTATTGTGGCTGTTTAAAATAAACACTCCACCTGCAAACAAAAGAAATTTATACTTGTATGTATTCCCAACATCATTCTCTGTGTAACATGTGCAAAATAATTAATACTAGTATAAACTGTAAACTCTTACAATACACAATAGTATTATTGATACACTCCTCACACTAGCACATGGTTTCAGTTTATCAAACTGATAAGAATTTCTCACAATATACAGAAATCACGAAACAAGGTTTTTATTCATGATCACTACATTCATGATACTTTGGTTTATTTATCCTGAAGTGGTGACTGTGGATGTAATCATTTTTATAAAAACAATATGGTGATGTTTCACTGCTTATAAAAATTCTTCTTTTTTGTCTATAATTATATAAAGGATTATTTATAAAAATTATCTGTATAGTAATTTGTACAGTGGGTATACTTATGGCTGGAGTGTTTTCATTCATACAACAAGCTTGTTAAGTGATGTTAAGACAATAACTGACGAAGTGAGAAGTTAATGTTCCTCAACAACAATAGTTTTAAAACCGTATCTCAATCCAATATTCTCATCTTCAAGCTGTAGTTAGGAAAGAGAACCCTTCAACCCAAAACCTAGTCATAACTCCTTGTACTATTAACAATATAATAAACAAGGATTTGAAAATGAACAGATACTTTATTGAGAAAGATGCCCCCCAAAATACAGCAATCACATACCTGCAAGCCTCCCCCTGACGAGTTGCAATGGGCACCTGTGTGTAGTTGGTCTGTTTAAAAAGTGTGGTTTTTGGCCACAATGACAGTATCAATGTGTATGGTATAAGACTGGCCTCACTGCCCCTTGCAGAAAATTAGTAAAATGGCAATTTCAAGCGAGTAAAAGTACATAATGATATTCATCAGAATGAACATGGATGTAGATCCAAGGTCAACACAGAACTTGGAACTGTTTTCATACAGTGTAATTATTTCATTAAAGAACTTGGTAAAAGTCTGGTCAGAGACTGATGAACAAACACAAAAAGTTGTAGTGAAGAACAATAGAATATTCTAGAAAAACAGAAATGTTGCTGTAATAACAGATGTATAAAAATCTGATAATGCAGTAATAGATAAACAGCCTGGTCTTAAATAAATCTTCAGAAATAGTCTTTGGTAGCTAATTTTTTTATATTAT